CCGTGGAGCCCGGAGGATGAGACCAGTGATTCGTTCCAGGGTTCCCACCTGGGACCTGGCAGTGGTTCTCGAAGCGCTGGCTGAGGCCCCCTTTGAACCCCTGGAGTTGGCTGAGGCCAAGCACCTGACCCTTAAGATGACCTTTTCCTCGCTATCACCTCTCTGAGGAGGGTGGGGGATCTCCAGGCACTTTTGGTTTCTCCCCGATGCCTGGAGTTTGCCCCGGGGAGGGTCAGGGCCATCCTGCACCCTTGTCCAGGTTATGTCCCTAAGGTTCCGGCCAGACTGGCAGGGTCCACGGTGCTGCAGGCGTTTCATCCCCCACCTCATGTGACGGTGGAGGACGGGAGACTTCATCTGCTCTGCCCTGTCAGAGCACTGAGTATTTACACTCTGAGGTCTTCCCGGTGGAGGAAAGCAGACCAGTTGCTGGTGTGTTTCGGGTCCCCCAAGGCTGGGCTCCCCACTTCTAAACACACCATCAGCAACTGGATCGTTCAGACTATTTCCCTGGCCTATCAGGTGCGCTTCACCTATGGCCGTAAAGGCGCACTCTACTCGAGGCATGGCGGCTTCTAGGGCCCTCCTCACAGGGGCGTCACTCCAGGATTTGTGTGACGCGGCTGGCTGGGCCACCCCTCACACTTTTATCCGGTTTTACAGTCTGGACCTTCCTTCTGCACCCGGCACCCGTGTGCTCTCCTCCTAGTCGTGCCGTCAGGTTCTGCACACTGGGGGCAGGCAGGGTTTTGGCGCGGCCTAAGTGGGTATCTCGTTCTTATGGTGTCGAGATACTGCGTCGGTCCGCCACACCTCACCCCGCCTGGAGTGCCTTGCTTCATAGAAAGGGCTAATGTGTCCTATGTGCCAGCGTGCTTATATACCCCCTCCGGTTACGCCGTCACACACTACCGTTCTAGTAACACCAATAGGATTGGAGTAGTTTCATTCATAGTTCAGCCCTGCCACGCCCAGAGGCGTTCCCATAGTGTCGTCACTGACGCAGTGTCTCGTTCCCCTTCTCAGGGAACAAGGGTTACATACGTAATCCGAGACGTTTCTGCCTCTTAAAAGGAAGTTTTTCCTTGCCTGTGTCGCCTAGTGCTTGCTCTTGGTGGGAACTGTTGGGTTTTTGTAAATAACATCACACAGTATGGACTAGACCTGCTCTACATGAAAAGCGCTATGAAATGACTGTTGTCGTGATTTGGCGCTAAATAAATAAAATTTTATTTGATTGAATTGTTAAAGATGTACATGTCCCGCTGCTATTTCAACTTGCTGACAAGTGGGTGAAGGATGGAGAAGGATCTTGAAGGCTTACGATGGATTCCTACAACATTCTGCATCATTCTGCCTGTAAAGCATGGGTCATAGGAATGTTGATCAATATTTCTTTTCAATATTTCAATGTTTTGGAAGCTTTATGTTATTTGGAATGTGGTTGGATGGAGAGAAATAGTGTTTTGAAGAAAACTCCAAGTAAAAGTGTAAAAACATATAAACAGTAAATATTGCCAAAACATGGACATTCACCTGGTATATTTGTGTAATAACGGTTGTAAATTAGTTTCTTTATATCAAATTTACAGTTCAGTTGTATTCTACGTGTATTAGTAGATATTCGGTTGCATTATTATCAGTTGATGGTTTTGATGGTGATATTGCAATTAAAATATAGATTTTATACCACACGAGGATGGAAATATATTTTCCTTTCTTGCATCTCCATTTACTCTTTAATAGAAAAATAAATAGGTTCATTTACAGTTGACTCATATTCATTAGCTTCTGACCTATCAAAGGAGACTTATGCATCTAGGCCTAATTGTTGAGGAGTTATTACTGATTTATTTTAGGCATTTTTCCTGGAAGTAGGTATTAATTTCTAAGTGGAGCAATGCCTTAGTTAGTTAGTTAGTTAAAAGTAATTGATAAACACTTAAAACGGTTAGCTGGAAGTAGTGGACAAAAGGTGGCTTGTTTCTGCCACTAGTGGTACGAATGCAAGGTTAATGAATAGTTAGTTCATCAGGGCTGTGGGAATACGTCAGAAAAATGTTGGAAACCACTGATGTGAATGGCACTGTAAAAACTGGTAGCATTGGATGCCAAGTACTGTGCAAGCTAAATATTATTTCTGCATTGGCAGTTCTTATTTATAAGTTTGAACATAATGTATACAGATAGACCCTGTTTCCTGCCTACTGTTTGGCTTAAAAACTGTCAGGTATGAACCATTTCTCTTTTTTCTGATAACATAAAACATGATAACATGTATAACATATACTCTATCTGTACCATGCTCTGAAATCTGTTCAAAACAAACACACAGATTTGACTTATTCTGTTGTTGCTTGAAAGTATTCCTGTTCAAAAGGATGCATATCACGTGGCTCCACTGTTGTAGATGAAAAAACATATATTTCACTCACAGTTGCCTGCAAAGATTTCTATCCCTAAAACAAGATTGGGAAACAGCTTCAAAATTAATCTACAGACAGGATGTCAGTGTTGCACTCAGGGAAATTAGGAAACTTCCCAAAGGTTTTGCATGGTCAGACCACAGAAAATTCTGCACCTTATTTTATGCATTGTTGACAAAATGTATACTTGAAAAGGAAAAATCACACAGCTCCATAGTATATAACATGATATACACTCATTTACTTTAAGAGATAAGGGATGTTCACAGTACATCATATGACAAAAAACATGTCCAATGTGTTACATATTGCTTTTTCTATAGCTTCTACCTACACTAAACCACTGCTAACTTATCAGTTGTTCTAAAACTATCAACAGAGTTTTCAAACTCTTCATTCAAAACACCTGGGAGATGCCTGAAGGGTTTCTGTCCAGAACACTGAATATAAATTCATTAAGGTTCTAATCCATATTCTCACGTGAATGATTGCAATGTAACATGCCATTGTGTGGCTGTTCAGTGATCATGGTGCATAAAAATGACAACCGTCAATTGAAAAACATAAAAAAAAGAATTACCGCACAATACTGATTACCTACTTAAAGCTTCAAGATAGATCATTAAATCTGGAGAAAAGTTACCTTAAGCCACTTGATGTCTTTAACTAACCAGCTGTTAAAAGACCTATAGTCTTAAACCACTTAAAAATTATTTGTGTAATGGAGTGGTCTGATGCACAATCAGACGGAGACATTTAAAGCAGCATTCAGCAATTTGTGACCACTGGGTGGCAGACATACTCTCCAAAACTCCCTGAAATACCATTTTCACATTAAGTTGTTTTAGGAAACAGTTGTCTACTTCCAACACTGCAACATGAGCATCTAAATGGAGTCACTCTCTTTTTTTCTTCTTGTTTTTCTGTTTTGGTCTCCACCAACTTGTGAGAAAAATGTCTCGGGTTTTCTTGGGTTATAAAGGGATTTTACATTGGATTATTATTTATTATTTTAGTAGTGGAAAGCTGAGATATAAAGCAAGCGGAGAAGATTTTTGGAAGGATTCCTCCCTCGACCAGCTGCCATTTTTGTGCACCTTATCTACTGGTTGCCAAAAAACATCCCGGTAAGACCAGCCGCACTTTTCCTTATGATCTCATCTGGCGCCAAAAGATAAAGGGGGTCTATAAGAAGATAGGCCTACAAGAGGAAACAGGCACCTGAGATAATGACAAATAAAAAAAAGTAATTCAATATCGGTACATGTAGGAATATCTAAATATATTGCTGCCAAACAGGTTGCCATGCCACATTCTAGCAAGCACAGAAACCTGCTTCAGCCATGTATGTTTATTATTTTCTGAAGTTTATTCTTTTGGCCAGGTAATCTCACAAGGACTACCCGGTCAAAAAAGCAAAAAAATGTATAATAAAAAAGAAGAGACCAATGAGATCAAAGCAAACAGATTACACAACATGTAAAACATTTTTCATAATCCATCTAACAATCATGTATTTAAGAACTCCTACACCAGCTAAATTATAAGGATCAGGCAAGGATGAAAATTTCTCTTCTTGAATAACAGAAACCAGTATAACACCACTATCACAATTTCCTTGTCCTAAAGCCCATGTGAATGCATTTAAAGTTAACAGTCTGTCACTGAGTCCTAACTGATTAGACAGATGTTGTATTTTGTGTTATTGGAAATACAAGAGCAGTTAAAAGGCCTCTGAAACAGTACTGAAGGTTTACAACATGTCAGCACGTTAACATCATAACAAGAACTGGATATGGTGTTCCAAGATGGTGCCCATTCGTTCCAATCCAAGTTGCTCACTCACTCTCACAGTGTAAAAGGTCTGCACACCGCAGTTGGCCAACAAGACAAATTGGCAGCAGGACACTTTCACACCATAACCAGAAATCTGCCTACAGCATATATCCTTGGTGTTTGTATTGCCTTGTGTACTTATCAGGTCAAAAATAAGAAATTTTAGTTTTATACATTTTTCTGCCGTTATAGCGACCTCTACAGAGTGTTCTCAGGGGAATGAATTTCAATGTCATTACTAGTAATGTGAGCAGTCCAATATCTAGTGTAGGCACTAAAAATGTTTTGTAATGTCACTGAAATTCCAAGTCACACACAGGCATTTAAGCTGGTGGGCTGACGTTTTTAGTCATGGCTGTGATTTAAGCACTCCATACGCTACTCCGATCTTCCATAAATGGGTTACTCCGATAAGTGGTATGAGTCACACACTATATAAATGGGAAGAGCTGAGGTTTACACACTATCATTTTATGCTTTACTTGTAAATGGATATTTATGCTTTGCTGCATCACTTTAGCTTATATTTCCTTACACAAAAAGTGAGGAGAATTCAAATTTCAGTTTAACTTAATATGAAGCTAATTTAATTAGTATACTAATAAGTTGATAACAACTATACAGCAATAGTTAGACCAGATAGTATGTAGCTAACAAGCTAAAATTAAACATAAAAATCAGTCTGGTGAATCAGCGATGAAGGTCAGAAACAACTGCAGGTGTACAAAATAAAGCCTGTGTCTCTCAAGACCATCAACATGGCTGCTTTTTATTGGGCAATAGGAAAGTAGATTTATTATTACCTGCAGGAATGTCAGAGTGTACAGTCTGATATTTAATAATGAAGAAATTTTGATGAAGTGTTTGTTATGTGAGATAATTTCTAGTTCACTTTCATTTACAGTTGCAAAATAGTTGGCTTTCTCTTTGCATTCAGAAGCAATTAAGTGTAGTTATAAATCATTCTGTACCCAGTATGGCTAAGAAAACAAAATATATTCTTGTTCACAGAGCTTCTATTTCTATAACTATTGGATTGGACTGGAATCAATGAGTGGCATATAACAGTGTGCAACATTGGCATGTGTATCCTTCCATTAAATACGTAGGGCAGGGTGTATAGAAAACAATGACAGGCAGCTGTGTAATGACTAAAAATACTATTTCAGTATAGTCTGAAAATGATTCAAAGTGATTCCTGAATTCTATGGAGAAAAATCAGCAGGAACACAGTAAATGGTGTCAAGAAAATGATGCTCTTCTAGGAGGCTCACTTGTGCTTTCAGTACCATGTATTGAAAACCAGCTGCTACAAATTCTATTAAAAACAAAAATACATAAAGAGCACAAGAATATATAGCAGGAAAATTCTGACGGTCTCCAGCCGTCGTAATGAGCCCCAATGTCCGTGCTGATTAAGTGCTCATCACAGAATCCATCCATTTGTTTGTAGTTCTTTCTTTATCTCCAGTCTCTTCCAGGTTCTTCAGGTAATATTCGTGTGTTCAGCCTAATACGGTAATTATTGCTTTTCTACGCTATGAAGCAAGTGTGCCTCGCTAAATAATTCATTATTACCAAAAAGTAAAAGTTATAACACTTTATCAGGTGAACAGTCTGTGCAAGGAGGAACAAAACAGAGACACCCATTCAACCTGTGTGGACATTGCACGTTCAACCACACTGAGGCCAATGAATTCCAATTTGTTCAAAATGATTCTGTGACTTTTTTAATCACAGCACTACTGTGTCACACACTCAAGGACACAAAAGACACAGGCAAAGACATTCACAGACCGAATCACCCGAGCAACATGTATCGCAGTCCTGAGGCCCAGCTTAAGCATCCCTACAGATGTATATGTTACATGTCACACCGCTGTATGTCTCGAATTCTCATTTTCATTTCTGGGCGACGGGGGAATCTTCCTGGTGAACTGGCTGAAGCTGGCAGCCCTAGACCTCGCCCTCGGCAAGCCCTGCGTTGGACCTGAGGGCAGAGTATTGAAGCGGCCCGGGAAGGGAAGGCCCTGGCCCTGGTCCTTGGAGAAGAGGCTCTGGATGAGCTGCAATTTTTCCTTCTCTTCCCTCAAGAAGACGTCGACCAGGAGCTTCTTCTCCTGTTTAAGCTGCTCCACGATGGTTTTGGGAACGTCAGGGATCACCCAGGCAACTACGAGGCTGAGGAACATCACCAGATTCTGGAGGAGGGAGTGAAGAGGAGAAAGCGATGTGTGGGAGGGAAAGATGGATGGATATGAAGAGAGATGGACGACAAAAGTAATGTTACAAAAAGGTTACAAGGAATCTAGGCTCCAGAATAGAAATGGTTTTAACACAAATATCTGTATGATCCGTAATATCTGAACCATGTTGATATGACATTCTGAGCCTTGGTAATGTCAAAATATGCTGATAGTGCAACATGAAAATGTTAACATTATTTATTTAGCCACATATATAATTATATTCTTTATCTTACTTCTGTTTGGGGGATGTAAACAGAATATATAATGTTGCCATGGATTCAGTGAAGTCTGCTGTTTTTTTAGTCTACATGTGTTTATATTGCCACTATTAAAAATATACCAAATTAGTTATTAGCTGTCGTGTTTGCTATGAACCCAGGAATGTACTGAAAACTATGATTGGATTACTCTGATACTGAAGAAAACTTGTGTGAAGATTCTCAGGCAAGTTCTGCACTTACAAGTGTCTCTTTTCTATGATCTCTACGCAGATTTATGGACGTTGATTGGCACTGGACACATTTTTAGAATCAGTATCAATTTCACCTCATGCAGTACCTTTGCCTCACGTCTCTCACCCCACGTCCACCCCACAACCCTCCCGCGCACCCCTTGAGAGGCAGGTCTCACAGTTTGAAAACGTCTAATCTTGAACCTTAAAGACGTTGTAAGGAATATCCTGAACTCTAAAAACACATGTGGTAGACATATGTTTGTGAGGCGGGCAGACAGAAGGAGCTGTTTATCAAATTAGCTGGTCGCTAACTGACCGAGGCATCTGGTAATATTCCCGATCATGATGAGAGTACAGCGTGATCCGCCTAATCAGGACTGACCCACACATATGCACACACGATTACTTTATCTGTCTTTTTAACATAGAAATTTCTTAAATTCCACTGCAAAATACCACAAAAATGATACACCAACACATATGTCACTTATCAAAGTACAGTGTGTGTGCTTTAAACTATACTGCAGAGTAGCAACTACATTGGAAAAACTCAGAACATTTGCATCTGTTATAGATGTCATATAGATGTCATTCCCATATATGCTTTGTTTGCTTTTCTCTTCATATTTGTTTCTCTGCGTGTTTTGTTGCTGATTGATCAGCTTACAAATGAAACACAATGAGCTCATACCTGGAACAGTATGACGAAAGCCAGTCTTGCAGCCAGGACACACCAGTACTGTTTGGAGAATGTGTACGCGTTTGGAGACCAGGGGGGTTCCCTGTAGTCTTTATACCTAGAACAAAACACAAATTAATTCAGTACAGATGCTAAAAATGGAGTATGTCAAACTTCTTTTGTTTCATTGTTTCTTGCCTGTGTGGGGAAAAAATATCTAAATGAGCTTGGTTTGGAATCATGTGTGCGGTTGAGCAACATGGTTAAACACTAAAACAAAAGAGCACCACCTACAGAAACACAAACATAAACAACTTGATAATCCAAGGAAAGCACCTCCCACACTGCTTCAATGACAAACTTCCTCCTGTACTATTGTATTGCAAACTGATTTACCTTTAAAATTAAAATATACAATTCACACCATTCACCTGACACATAGTTCAATCCACTTAATTAGGATTCCTTTCCCTTGTTTTCTTTGTAGTAAATACTTTTTATTGTGCTGGCAAAACAAACAGCAGAAAACACAAACCACATGTTGAGCTAATGGTTCCAAATGAGGACAAGGAATCAAGGACAGAGACAAGAGAGGAGAGTAAGAAAGCAAGAGGGATGAAAGGAACAGAGGCAGAAGACAGAAGAGATGGAAAAAAGAGATAAACAGAGAGAGATAGAGAGAGGAAAAGGAACATGGAGAAAGACAACAGTGAGAAATGAAAGAAAGAATGACAACTTAGAGAGACAGACAGAGAAGAAGATGCTGTTTTGTTTATAGCAGAATTTATTTGAGTGGGCAGATTGAGGATGTGTTCTCATCCGGTACAACACACACACACACACACACACACACACACACACAAGCACAGAGACAACGTGAAACAGCTGCATATCTGTTTTGGTCATTAATGAAATGTTCAGGCTTGAATGAGTGGAGGGTCTAGGGCACAAAAATGAAAACATTCTTTAGAGCCAGTCTTTAGTTTATTTATTATTCTTTAGTTTATTATATATATATATATATGTATATATGACAAGACAAACGACATACAAATACATATATATATATATGTATACAAATGACATGACAAGCCCTAGACTTGTCAGTCTAAGGCGCACAATGTAACTGCAAAACCTGGACTTTGAAGGAGAAAAACTTGTGTTTTGTTGTTATAGCCAAAAACTTACATATTTGGACAAACATCTGGTTTCAGCAATAACACACATACACTGATGGCTTGGATGAGCCAACATATTGTGTACGTTTGTGTCCAGTACAAACCAAGTTGATTGAGAGTTTGACCAAGATGTTTCCTGTTGGATGCAATCACTCCTAAATAACATAAGGAGGTTCTCATCGTCCTTATGCTCAGCTTGAGTGTTTGTTTAGAATATTTTTATTTGGATGCAGTCAGTCATTCACGTATAGAAACATAAAAGAACACAGCAAGGTTCAGTCAAAAGCAGCTCTTCAGCATAACAATCAGCTGAGGTGACATCAGTGTTAGTCAGTAACTGCTTAAAAGCCTGCTACACATAATCAGACTTATCAAAAGCAATAAATGACCATACAATTTTAGTTTCCAGCTATTATCTTATTTACTGTATGTAGGCTACAACACTTCCTTTTGAATACAAATCTGAGGAGAAAAAACTGTATGCAACTCAGGTCATCATGGAAACCAGGTGTATGCTTGCAAATTGGGATATTAATATGGGTATTCAAAGTAATCAAATGATGTGTTTGCATGTAAATGTACTGACTGATTCTTCTTTCTCAACAATGGTGGCCCGATGTCAACACATGCAGCGAGGTCAGACAAAGCTCATTAACAACAGAAACATCTCGTGGAGACACGTCAACGCAGGGACTGCAGGAATTGCACAGTGCATGCCAGAAAGTGACATTTCAGCAGCTGTTAACTACCCTGACCCTCTACCAACCCTCTACAGCTATATTATGGTCAGTAAAATTCTTGTAATTCTTGTAATTCTTGTCTGTATTTGTGCCTTACAGGTGTAGTATTTCTTGAAGAGAGGAGTGTAAAGTAAAGCGCAGCTTTATGTTACAAAGTTGCTTTAAAAGTCATTTTCCCTGTGGGATGCAGAGAAAGTACAACATATCACATTCTGTTCGAGGCAAGTGAGACAGTTGGTCTCATTGTTAATCTTGAGAATATCTTTAGGCAGAAAAATGCATCCTCCCTACCCACTGAATGTACAGAAGACAGAAAGAGATTGAGCTTTATAAACAAAGATCAGCATTATGTGGAGCTGTAGACAGAGTCTTCCAGCATTAGGTCGCATTAGTGCATTTAGGGCATCTGATTAAGAACACATGACAGAGTCTTAATCAAGGAAAATAAAAAGAGTAAACATATTTAGCACATATCTGCATAACTGCATCCTCTAACATAAGACAGAAAATCAAGAGGAAAAATTCTGTAGAGGAGATAATCAAACTGTGACATGTTTTCTGCGTAACAGTTCTGCACATCATGCTGGTCCTTGCCATGACTAGAAACATGGATTGGACACCAACTGTCTAAACTGGTTTATATCTATGTATGTTTGTCAGTCTACCTCGAAAGCAAACCTTTGTGGCCACAAGAATCTCAACCACTTCCTTTGCAAGGATACAAAGAAACTATTTGTTGTATAGTGCAAATTATGATGGATTAGGCTTTGTTTCATAAGAATTCTATTGTTAATGCATAGGACAGGGTTAGGGTTACTATAACCAAACAAAAACTTGGCATAAACTTAAAGAGAAGGTAAGCGTTGTTGCTCCTCCAAACTTAACAAGTGGTTGAGTAATTTTTTTACATGTATTTTCATTTTCACTAGCACACTGCCATGCCGCCCAAGGGGAAATTTTGTGGTTTTATGAGGGTATGTGTGCCAGACTTTTTCTTGGCCGATTTATTGTTTTGTTGTCACCGTGTGGTTGCCAAGCAACCATAAAAGACTTCAGAAAGTCACTGCTTCGATTCAAGAAACAGTCTGCCACATAACCCTCTTAAAACTATAACCTTTTTACATGCTTTATTATATATGGTTTATTTAGTGAGTGAGTGAGATTTTATTAACATTGGATACAGCCAGGCTACCTGTTTCCACCTGTTTCCAGTCTTTACACTAAGCAGAGCTAGGCTAAACCAAGCTAAGCTAAGTTAGCTGGCTGCTAGCTATAGCTTCAAATCTAATGGAAATACATGAGACTGGTATCAATCTTCTCATCTAACTTTCAGTAAGTAAGCCATTACGCAAACTTGCCAACCTGTCTGACAATGACATTTATCATTAGAACTGTAATATAAAGGTGTGTCTGAATGAATAGCTCTGCCTCCTGTCATTCACAACCCTGTCAAGCAATAGGCCATTGGCCCCCAAAATTTACGCCACTGTCCCACATTCTTTTTAAGTCACAAATCAGTGTAACCCTGCAAACACCTCTATACTGCAACACTTGCAGTATAGAGACATTTCAAACATTCCCTTCCATAAGGCATTTGGTAAAAACAAGCAGGCAAACATAAAACAAGGGGGATATTTACAGTTTAATCCAACCAAAGAGTGAAAACATAGTGAATCTTCCAAGCATTCTGCTGTTCTTTCCTTTCTTACACCGACTCCGTCAACATAAACCTATGACAGTGAGCAAAGCACGGCTATTTCTCAGAACCAACACTCCCACTAGAAGTGAAGACTCAGTGAATTAACTTTATTTATGATGGAAATATCCTAAATTGTCCTTAGGTGAGAGTGTGAGTGTTTGTTTCTCTATGTGTGGCCCTGTGATGGATTGGCAACCTGTCCAGGGTGTACCCCGACTTTTGCCCGATGTCCACCCCCCCCCCCCGTCCTTGTATGCAGGATAAGCAGTTGACGATGGATGAATGTCCCCACAAAAACTGGAAAACTTTTATATGTGTGTGCTAACCATTTAACTTCTGACTGCTTTCTCAACGAGGCAATTAATGTTACAAAGCAGGATTCCCATCAAAACATTCACACCTAAGGACAATTTTAGAGACACCAATTAACCTAGCCTGCATGTCTTTGGATGGTGGGAGGAAGCCGGAGCACCCGGAGAGAACCCATGACCTTCTTGCTGTGAGGCGACAGTGCTGTATACAGCTAATCTTAAAACTGAATTTAAAATACATCCTACAGTAGCTAGATAAAAGTGTTTTTAAAAGATGAATTAGAACAGAAAAGGAATGCAGGAAACTCCAATCACACTGGAAACTGTCTTTTACAGTAAACACACAGCCGTTAAACATGTCAGGTTAATGTGATGGCTCAGATCAAAGTTTTAAATTGAGACAACTGACACACACGCACACACAACACACACAGTCATGAAAAATTCCTCCAAAGCCAAAATGGATGAAATGGCCTGATTGAGCTGTCTCATTAAGTACTTGACTAGCAGTATAGAAATAATAGAGGGGGAAGGGAGATGTGTGTGTGTGCATTGTGTGTGTGTTTATGTGTGTTAGCAGGGTCTTATGGTGTCTGATTCTTTCTCCTTATACAGTCATGAGTGAGGAATGCTTCCTATGAGAGTCATCTATTCTCTCCCTCTCATTTCCCTTTTGATCTATTCATCTTTGTCTCACTCGCTGGCCAGTATTTTACTGTAATTTGTTGTGGATCAACTTCTGAACTAAACTGTAAAACAAGACCTCCCGTCCTGTCATGCTCCATGCATGCTTAACTTGTCTGGTTGGAATGAAATCTAAAATGTTACTCTCAAAGAACATTTTCTCTCTCTCCCTGTGTGTGTGTGTTTTGTAGACGCCCCATGTTTGGTTATAATAGTGCAGCTCGGCAACAACCGGAGCACCTAACTCAATATTCTTTCATAAGACCTCTCAATGAGATTATGGTTAGTATGTGAGAGGCTTGAGAATGTGTGTGTGTGTGTGTTACTGTTGCAAATACAGTCTCTCCTGGGATTGAGGAATACATTTACAGACAAGCAAGGGTCAGACCATTCCCATCCTTAAAATAAGCACACACACAGCCAACCTCTCATCACAGAATGCGGTTGCTCTCAGGTATGGGAGAAATCAATGACCTAAAACAATATTATCTTTCTATCTGTTGTGGGTAAGAATATGTGTTCTTAATATGTCTGTGCATCTGCCTTTCAGTTTTCTGTGATCTTTTATTCAGACACTCTCAGTAAATGTTTATTCTTTGCTCCTAATTTGTTTCCCCCTCTCATTTCTATTTCTTTCCTCAGAATTGTTAAGAGCATGAGAACAGTGACAGGTCTGGCATCCAGCTTGCTTTGATCCAAAACCACTTCCATCCCTCAGCAGTTTTTATTACTTCCTCCTGGCTGGGGACAGAGACAGATAGAGAGAGGAACAAGAGGAAAAGAACTCTAAGGTCCAAAATTCTTGCCCAACATGTTCTGAGATACTGACCGATAAAGGATCACATGTTGCTCCATCTGTCATTTCACAGTTTCAATCTGGCAGAAATTGAATAAGAAATCCCTTAAATTGGACTGTCTAGTCAGGAGGCATCAGTACAGTAACATTGGCTGCTGTACAGTTCTGTGTACAAACACACACAGCTGTCTTACGCACGCTCATGTTTTTATACCGTAGTGGCTCAATTCCAGCGTTTGGGAATGCCATGTTTCTGACTTTGATGTCCCACGGCTGACCATGAACAAACTCCACAGCATCAGGCGCAAAGACTTCATGCCTACTGCTGGAAGGTTCTGATCCCCAGAGGATTAATCCTGACTTCCTGAACAAACATTTTCAGTTGATGCACCAGGAGGAAACATCGTATCAGAAATGACATTATAATCCAACTCCTTGGCCCTCATTTGACTTCCTGGTGATAAAAGAGTTTAAGAGCCAACTTCCCGTCAGCTCAGGGAACAAGCGCTGTCTTGACATGAAACAGGTAGAAGCCTGAAAGTCCCGCTATCATAATACTTTTCCAAGTCCTGTCCAAGAAGTGACAATGATTTGCAACATATAAAGCCTACTAATCACAAGAATTTGTGGCTAACTACTCTTGTGTATTGTTTTTATTATACTTAATATGTTGTGTCTGTGTTCTTTGTTTTCTCTAAATCACTGTGAAGCTTTCTGGCTAAAAAAAAATTTGATGTAGAACTGACGTCGGTAGGAATACAGAGAAAAATTGTATCCCTGTATGGAAATTCCCTTTTCTCTTGCCCCCTCCACATGGAGCTCAGAGGTCAAATGACAGTAGGGGCTGGTAGGGATTTAATATTCACTCAGAAGTAACTGAGCAGGGGCATGGACATGAATCACCTTTAAAGAAAGACATTTTGTTGGACTAAGTTTCTGGTCAATTTACTAAAATCATCGCAAATCTGTTGTGTAATACTGCTCTATCACTGGGAACTGTGCAAAGAAGACATTATAATAATATACAGCGTCTGTCACCATGTCATATAACAGGTACTTCAAACAGAGGGTTAATTTCCCAACAAGTTTGTGTGGCTAAGCCACTTAGCAAAAAAGGCAATTCTTCCATCTGTCTATTGGAACACTACATTACAAGCAACAAGCAGGTAAACTTACTTTAAGGAGTTATACCAACCAATTAAAATGTTTGTCTTTAAAAGCATGAGGAAGACAGTGGCAGATTACAGACCAGATGTTAGATATTCACATTTATAATCATTCTTGATCTCTTCATATCCAGCCAGGTGACTTACAATACAAACGGTTACAAGATATCTGAGTGATGGTCTTATTTACTGGTAGTTACATGAATTGAAATGTGTTCAAAATCAGTGATGGTCAAGGTGTCATGAAGGACAGGGAATTGAGAATTATAGTGAAACTCTGGATTGGTAAACGTATGTAGGTACGTCATTAGCTGTGGGTATTGACCGACAGAATATCGCAGGTACCAAAACGAGATTTACATCAAACTGTTCTAGTGCTGCCATTGCTGCTATTTTGTTACTGCCACACTTTTAAAACTTTTCAAAGTAACCAAATACAGTACACATACCTGTAATTGAGATTTAATAACTTGTATACCACTTCTCATACATACCGTAAAACTTTGAATAATAGCCTGGGCTTTTATTTGCTAAAGTCACTGAATTGACCCTTATTTGAGACAGACGTCCATATGGGACAGGCCTTTAATTCTTTTTGCACAAAACAGAAACTACTATGAAACAGTTTATTTATTTCAAACAGAATAATACTTGTGTAAAAATGATCAAATAATATCCAATACACGTCATTCATTTGGTCTAGCTCCGACAGACGGCTCACACGCTTTTATTTTTAAGGCACCAACCTCACGAAAACAACAACACGGTGTAGGAAGAGAAAAGTTAGCAGACAGAGAGCGATGGACTGCACATGACAGGATTCACAATTGGATTCATTTTTCTGAAAAGCTGTTTTGATTCTTTTTATGGGTGGAAACTTACAGACTAAAGGAATATATTAAATAATCAAGGAACGGACACATTCGGGCTTAACGAGCGCTTCAAAGTTAACGTGAGTCAGCACTTTTTTTCCCTTTTCTCTCTTGCAGCCATGCAGGTTACACCGGTAAATCTAGAAGAATTAGACTTTGGTTCTGGTTGTTTCCGTTAAATGAACTTAACAGTGGTATTGTGGAGGATCTAACCGATGTAACGATGTTCATACGGATATATTGATCATACGTTTAAACATTAATATTGTATTAATGATCTAAGCAGCTTAGAAGCAGCTAAAGCGGGCAACCCCGCGGGGTTTTATACATACAAAGAACTTCTATAAAAACCAGACCAGGCGTTTAATTAAGGCAGGCGTTTATTTGTCAAAATGTGTTCCCTCTGCCCTTCCTTCCTTTCCTCTGTGTTTTTTTTCTTTCCTGGCTTCCTTGTCCCTAGCTTTATCTTATCTTCTGTTCAATGATATTATCTGCCACTGTCCATTCCCTGTTTGAGACATCATTCATCCATTTATCCTCTTTTTCTCCCTCATGCATTTATTCATCTCACAACCAAAGTCCCCAAATTAACTAAGAAAGAAAGAAAGAAATTAACTGTCTGGAGCCTCTGACATAATTTGAATTACATGCAGTTTTGAATCATTTGCCTTGAGCCTGGAGGCATAGCGCACAACATTAGTCTGTACATACACTATACAGCACTACACACTGCAGGCACACACACACCCTTCTTGGAACATCTTCCAGTCTATTTCATGCCTATAAGCATTCAAGGCTCATCGTGTTTGAGACGTGACGTACCACACTACACTGACACAAAGACTGTATTCTTGCATTGTAATTCTCTGCTGTCTTATGTAACAGCAGGTTGGCCTCTGTGGGCGCCGGCATCCATGACCTTTTCATCTATAGCGGTTTATATTGACATTATGAAAGAGATGCTTGCCACTGGAATGAGTGAAAATGCATAGAAGATACAATAGTGCACTGTCTTTTGGGCTTAATAATGTTGAGCTTCACTGGAGTTGTGACAACATGTTTCCCATTTGATCTTGGTTTCAGAATGACTTACTACTGCGTTAAGGTGCGTGTCAGCCTCAAGCCCATCTGCATCTCCAACCAAAAACTGTTCTGTGACCCTAACCGATTATCACATCCATGGCTTAGAGAAAAATTTAACACTGTATCATTTGGAAGTTGCAGTGAACTCCAACTGAAAGCTTTGTTTCTTCACCTGCAAACCTCAGTAACAGCACAAAGCTCAACAATCTTCATCAAGAGTTTTTGAATAGAACTAAGGATACTCTCCTTCTTCTTCCTACTTGTGGCAAGAAACCCATAGATTCCACCCTATCTCAAACCTAGATGCCTATGACCATCCAGAATGGGATTACCTGTTGAAATTAAGTGGTTTCATTTTGAATCTAGGTTTAAAAGTATATAAAGGTGCAAATACTAGATTCGTTATTCCCTACATCTACAGCCTCTCAATACAGGTCTGCCTGAAGTAGTGTAATCCAGATCCACCACACAAGTTTGTCCACTATTCCCCACTTTGTTTATCTCTGGAAGCCCTTGCTTAAGCAGTTAGATATCACTCATGTAATGCATCAGTCTTATTGTAGGTCTATATACACGTCATTAAATATAAAGACAATATGGTGCTTTATGAAAATGATTATTATATGCATCATCATGCATCAATTCCAACTACACTCACCTCAATTTGGCACTTTGTCTGCAGCTATGCCTTTAATTCCGCTGCCTGGCTGCTTTATTACTTACTATCACAAAAACAGAATCTCACAATAACAGAACAAGTGTGCTGTTTTACGTGCAAAAGCTTTCAGAGTTTGTGGTCACAGCAAATGGTGCATAGTAATGGGCTGTGGTTGTTCCGTATAGCTTCCAATGTGAATGTAAGATGTTATTCAAAAGGTTTCCTGGTGTGAATAAAGGTTTGAAAGAAGCGAGAAAATTCTGTTGGACAGTTCAGCTCCATGAACCACAGGAGAAACAAAAACATGCTTCTGTCAAATTAAATGGATACTAGCCTTGAAATTAGCAAGGCTTATTTGTTGTTGACACAGAGACTGAAGGGAAGTGTTTATGTATTTGTTAAGGTCAAAGTTATAAGCTCTGACAAGTCAGAGTAATGCTGCTTAATCCACTTAAGACAAAACCCACCAAAGTACATTCCTGTAATCTATTTGTAAAGATAGATGATTGACTTGACTGTTTTCTTAAACACTCACCCAGAACTCCACTGGCAGTAAAAGGAAAATTAATCAGAAAACAAGAAAAAGAGAGGCCCATGTGTGCATGTATTGTGTATGACTATGTATCTATTTTTATTGACCAGGTGGCTTTCTTTGCCACAAGTATTGTTTTTAGAGGGCACCTTGATTTGTACTTTGTATTTCACAATACTTGACACAAAGGCAATTAAGCAAATTATAATTTAAAAGTACTGCTTCCAATAACTGCAGCATTTCAGTGTGTGCATGAGTGTTTGTGTGTGTGAGTTTTTTACCGGCAGACTGAGATGTCTCCGAGCGCGGAGTTCTGCGGTACGGTGCCGGGTTTAAAATTGGACACGTTGAAGTAGGAGAGTGTGTGGTCAATGAAGCCGTGCATGGTGCCAGTCTGACTGAACATGTACTGGTAGACGAGCCGAGGGATGAAGTCTGACGTGAAGGCAATCACAAAGGCCTCCAGAGAGAAATAGAGAGACAGACAGACAATGAGAGAGAGAGTGAAGCCACGAGCATTGACGAAACGCAAACAAACACCACAAGAAAAGATGCTGTATTCTGTAAAACTTGTGATTTGTCAAATATCTTCCTTCAATTGTTTATTTTTAGATGGTCAAAAGCACTGTTCTTGTAAACTACACACAGATATTTGAGTAATGTATTGAAATATTAATTTAGTACAATGAAATAAAGTCTGTAGAACTGATTCATGCACAAAAAGAAGGAATTCTGATCCCTGTTTTCCATTGCGCTGAAGCTCCCGGAGCAGCTTAAGTGTGTGTAAGTGTGTCCAGTGCCCTATAGCTCTAGAATAAATAAAAACTCCTGCTGCTTGTTTTTCTGAATCCTCCACAAATCTGCTTAGTATTAAAAGTAAACTGAATAGGATTTGATTAGCCGGCCAAGGACAAATCCCGAGCAGAACTTTTCCTGACTCCACCACCACACACACACACACACATATACTGTGACCTCCACAGATCAGCATGTTAAGGTGGTTCAAACATGATTCTGGGATCTCACAAGGTCATGACACATGACATCTAACAGCAAAGAGAGAGGTTAAATCTGGGGCATTCGCACACACACACAACACACCTGATGAAAGCTGGATTATGTGTCGAAATGTTCCAGCAAAGAAGTTCGAGGTCAGTGGTAGAGCACTGTTGTGTTATGCAATCTTTGTAAAGCTCTATTCCTCCCTGCGATGTCTTTGAAGTTAATAAACTGGCCTTGTTTATGTAAAAATTGGATTTGTGACTTCGGCATTATGTAATAACTTGGAAATGTAGCTCAGTGTTATTCTAAACGAGTCAAACATTTCAATGTAATGAAAAAAATTTTTTTACATTAGTCATTTACAGTACTTCTCAGGGACATCTGAACTAGTCATGTAATAACAATACTGGCTAACAATGTAATAACTCGAACAAGAATAGGAATATAACCACATATAGTAATAAAAGTGAGATTTTTCTTAGACATGATCAAGATCCTGTTTCCATAAGTTGAGCAGAACTCATGACAAGTAAACTGAACTTTCTGTATGTGCTCTGTTAATCTTTTTCCATGTTGTCCTAGGAAGTAATACCACTGATTTCCCTCCAAATCTAACCTGGCGACCCACAATTTAAAATACACTGGAGAGGCTGCTAGTAGAGCTCACATTATGTACTATATACTATAGAATACCTGCCTTCATGCATTTGTTGTCATATATCTGCCTTCACTAATTCAATGTGAAGATGGTAAAAAGAAGGGCATTGCATTAATACTTACATTTATAATGACTGAGAATTTTCCCATTCCACTCAGTATGTTGTACCACACACCTAGAGAAAGAAGAGCAAGAGAGAGGCTTTTCAGGAACATGGAAGAAACATTACCATGTTAACATTTTCTTATTAGCACTAAACACTAAGTACAGCTGAGGCTGACAAAAATGTCGTTCCTTTTGAAGGTTATTTCACCATGAACCAAAGCATAGGGCAGGTTGGTAAGTAAGTAAGTAATTACAATTCATCTATTTCCACCCCATGTTGCCATACGGCCATTCAAACACTTTTTTCCTTGAAGGTACCACAAATTTGACATGTTTTAATGAAATTCATTCAGTGTTCAGTTGTTCAGGCAACTTGAATCACATTAAATGGTTTCTTCCAGAAAAGAACATTAACAAGAATGCAATGTCCAATATGTACAAGAGACCGAAGCAACAAGATTATTTTATCCATTTTATCCATATCTATCTGTGTATATTTATACTGCACAAATATGTGGCCAGTATGTTCCTTTCTGGGTTGAATTCATGTTTCTGGAGATGGTGAAAGTTTGGTAACCGCATGTCATATTGTTATTCATACAATAACAGTGAAGTTGCAACAAACTTTGTAGCATAGTAAACCTTGTTTCCATCATTTTGTTTGTTGCTCATTTTCCTCTGACACCCTTCACTTTTCACTGAATTAAATAAATAATTTAATTATTTAAGTTATTGCAAAACAACATTTAAATGCTTGCACTGAAGCAACAATTAAAAAGCGTTAATATAGCAATAGCCTTTTAAGCTGTTTAAACACATCATAGTTCTTGGTAACCTATAAATCAAATTTCCAGAAAGAAATGTGGCAACTGAAAATAAATAAATAGCCTAAAACAACTAACAAAAGTGTTAGGGGAAAAGGAACCCTTTGGGGTCTATCAGTGCACGCGCCAGCTCAGCCGTGAAACACGCCTCACTTCCTGAAGGCGCTGCTAACCCTGACAGAGCTTAATCTGTCTGGTTTCAGTGGAGAGTTTTGGTGTTGCATGATGTTTGAAATGCTGTGTTTCCACTTTGACATGAAGGAAGGTATCTACAAAACCATAATAAATCTATCCACTGCCAAATTTGATATTTTAGTTTATAATCCTGGTTGTAAAGCAGTATGTGTTTGTCTATTCCTTTTTATGTGCATCATAGCAGCTTACCAATGTCTTTAGCACGCACAGCGACTGGCCTGCGTAACTCCGTAACAAACTTCTTGGCATCCAGTCTGATCTCTATGACGTTGTTGAGCAGAGCAAAGAGAGGTGCAAGCGGGAATGAAGCCACGAACAGGGAGACGAAACCAAACTGGATGACTGGAGAAGAGAGATAAACATCATCATTAAACTTGACACAGTAGGTGTATTGGTATCAAACATCCATACACAAAATACTGTTACTAAGTATAATATTCCTGTCATAATTAGAAGCTGTATAATTCAACAAAAGAGACCATGGTGGGGACATGGTATCACTATTTGTGTGTCTGGAAATGAAGGAGACATTTCCCATAATCCCCATTGCTCCAGGCCACATGTACACACACTTACACTGGCACAGTGTGCACAATTATTCTGATAACATTCAAATGTATATATCTGTATCAAAAGGTTTGGTCCCATTCCCTCCAGCTGCTGCTGCCATCATAAAAACTAGGGAAGCACATCAGTCATGCCATCGCTGGAATTCACTTGGTGTCGTAAGGACATTTAGATAACCCAAGTTACACTTTTCTACTGCAGGCCGCAGTTTAACGTTGGGTATCACAACATGTAAAATACTACAGTCTGCAGCAAACATTACAAAGTATTTTCCCTGTTTCTGTTACTGCCTTGCAGCAGAGTTACCAGACAGTGGCAGTGGTTTTGTCTTTGTTTTGTCACAAAGCATGTCCTAGTTAGGGTATTCTGAATTTAGGTCAACTGATAAGGTTGTTCAATACGCCCAGAGTTTGCTACAGTTGTTAAAGAGAGAAAACTACTTTCTATTCTCCACACGATCCAGAAATGCATCTTGGATCCACATCAAGATGGTGGTCTGGTAAATGTTTAAGCTAATTCCAGTGGGATCCACAACAGATGTGAAAGTCATCCACTGGGAGTTGCATAATGTATGTACTTGTTGTCATGTTTATGTTTAGTTCTGTCTGTTATAGTTAAAAAGTAAGGAAAGGCAATAATTGAATAATAATTAGAGAATTGTTCAGCATTCTCAATTTTTACTAAATGGAAGGGAGTTTAGGGTAAAGAAAAGACTCTGTAGAGCTTGCAGATACAAAAAGCTTTATTTAGATTTACACCTTGTTTCCAGGTGTATTTCCTTGCTACAGATACTAGCTTACAGTAGTTAACGCTGGCTACATTTACATCTACACTAACAAAACAACCGCAGTGTGGCAGATTGCAATGCACCACAGTGAGAAAGGTCTGTTCAATTATAAATGCTATGTAGGATACAAAGTAACATCCTACAACACTGAAAGTACACATTTTCAAACCACGTCAGACTGACGTTGGTGAATGCCTATTTGTCTGGTCAGGAGTCGCACTGTCTGTCCAGGCTTGCTCTGTGTTTCAGATGATGCCTTTTAAGGTTAAACACTCCAATGCACCAGCTAAACAGGGACTTTTTATGATTAAGCAGTGTGTGGGACTACAGTATGTGTGTATCTATGCTTTATGTTTGTCTGTTGTGTGTGTGTGTGAGTGTGAGTGTGTGTGTGTGTGTTTGTGTGTTATGCAAGTCAGTCTGGTTAGATAACCCAGAGACACAACAACCATGACTAATAATTAAAACTAAAGTCGGTGGTTGGTTTTGTGCCTGGACAGGTGCCACGCTAGCTTCCCTTTGGCCACAGAGAGGTCAGCTCCAGTTAGTCAGCTCTGTCTGGAGTGTTCTCAGATAGAGGTAGATTAGTTTACATACACAGAAAGTTCACCAGGCTGCCTTTACGTTCTTGTTCTTTGACTGAAAATTGTTAGATTACAGAGCTAGGTTTGAGGTTTGGCCACTAATTTCCAATTGCAAACTAGAAAGAAGAAAACATTTTTCCTCTAAGTTTATCAACTGTATGGCTATAAACTATATGATATTGAATGTCCCCAAGATACAAAAGCAAAATGAAAATAAGCTGAGCTAACTGCATGAATTTCAAACGTGTTTAAGTTCATGCAATCAGCAGGGGTTCATCGTTAAAGGCACAGTACAGCCAGGGTGACAGAAACAGAGAGATTTATCATCCCTAACCCTGTGATGTGGGTTGAAGTTATTCACCTTTCATATTATCCCCAGAATAAGGTAGAGATGCTGTCAATTTTGATTGATCGGACAAAGCAGAAACAGATAAAAGCTTTTTCACATTATTTCTGCTACAAACATTTATTTTGGGTTGATCAATACATGATCAAATCAACATCCACCTGCCTCCTAGAATGTGGAAAGGAAACATGAGAGAGACAAGGCATTTTGCCCGACTTTGGCTGATGTTCAGCTCTGATCAGGGCAGTGGAACTTTAGCAGTGTGGGAACGGGTATTTCCAGCAAGCTGGAGACTGACGGCTTCACCTCCGGACGCCACACTGAGACAAAGAGCGGCGAGGAAGAAAATACGACAGTGGAACGGCGGACGCTAGAGGGCAAGCTTAGAATAACCTCGCTATCTACCCGAGCCGAGGTTGACGGGTTCAAGGATGGCCAAGGCACACACACACACACACACACACACGCACACACAAAGAACACAAACACCGTAACACAAGGACCAGGTCTTACAAATACAGACACACAGAAATAAATAACAAATGAGTTAACACATACCCAGAACTACCCATTCACACTCTAACAGCTGTGTGTGAGTGTGTGTTTGCATATAGAGCTCAGACATATCTGACATTCCTTGCTGTGCCCTGCAGCGACATCAGCTCAGTCTTCTTTCTGTTTTTCTCTCCCTCAACCCTCCTCCCGGTTCCCTCTGTCCTCACTCCATATCGCGTGAAATCTCCACATTATCTTATCACTGCACGGTCAGAAGCCAAAACAGAACTTTTCTACTCAGTTCTGAACTCTGGAAGGGTCTCTATTCCACCAAAAGACACAGGTAGCAGCTATGACACTCATTTTAAAATATAAAGTTTCAGGAAATCTGACCATGTTTCCACTTGTGAAGAGTTACGGTTCCTGCGTCTGTCTATCTTTCATAGGTTTCTAAGCTTGTTTTGGATCCCACGTTTACAAGATCATTTCCCACAAAGAACCCATCAGATTTTGCCAACAAAACTTGCTATTTACAATTTCACCAAAATCTCATGTGTTTTTATGGCTTTGAACTGAGCACAATTTAGACAGTTTTACTGGTTCACAATGTTTGCACATATGTTGCCAGTTTCTAAAGCCAAGCTTGTTGCTGCAAGTTTGCTGAACTGCTGCTCAACCTGGAGGAAATGCTCAGTAACATCAAGCTGTGTGGCCATATCCGCTGTCACTGTCTGTTTTGCTTTATGAATTTCTCAAGCACATTTTTGCTTTTATTTTCTCTCTATTACATATTAACAATTAATGCATTCAATGGAGACTGGAAGCAGATATTTTCACATTCAGTTGCCAGTTTTCTTCTGGTAAAATAGGTCAATCACTCAACCCACACATCATTACAGGGGGTACTGGGTACCTAGTTGGTTAATGGACATTCCAGTAAAATTTTCATTACCTTCACTGTTTGGAGGTCAGGCATGAATTAACCTTACACCTCGGTCATAAGATAACACCAGGGTCCTGTGTCTTAAAATCAGAGAAGCACAAAGCTCTAAAGCAGATTATGGACATAGAGGCATTACTCATGGTTCTGATGAGCTGCATCTTTATCAAAAATGTTGACTAAAAAGCAGAAAATCTCTTAATTCGTGATTGTCAATTCATATCTGTCACTCCTCCCTGAAGATTAAAAAATGTTGTCTTTTCCTTTTCTGGGTATCAGCTTGACTGCACCTACTCTGCAACTAGAGAGCTCGCTTAAATTCACACCAGAGCGTAAAATATTAAAGATATACAGATAACATGCAAAATTGCAATTTGATATCCTGAAAGTATTGTATTTAATCCAATCTGTTTTTCTTGATTCTTTTAACCTAAACTAAATTGAAGAAATGTGATGGGAAAGACTGACTCTCCCATACCTCAAGTGTTTAAATCAGCAAATTTAAAGTACAGCTCCACTCAAAAATATGGTTTGATTGTTGTTACTTCCCCTGAAGTCTGTTTTCACATTCATCTACTGAGGAGGGAAAAGATTCTCTGTGTTTACCTAAAATGTCAGTTTAACACATGTACGTATAATATGATTTTGTGACTTCACAACAACTTTGGAATGCAAATATTGGCCAATATGCTACTTAAACAAGTGTGATGGAGAAACATGAAGCCTCCAGTGCACCTACAGTGAAAATGTACTTCTCAGTGAAGTAGGAGACATCTTGTTTCCTGCAGTTAAACCTTCACAGATTTGATTTTACAATGAGGGAGGACTAGATATAATTTAAAGAATTTTAAACGAGGTAACTGAAATTATTTTTTGAAACAACCGTCATCGGCAGTCTGTGACAGAACCTGGCAAAACAGATATTTATGTTACAAATCTGCTCATTACAACTTTAACTAAAATTTTAACAACTAAATGTCAATCTTCAATGTTGATCCCTGCAGTCCAGTTAGTTCTTCATCAAACCTTAAGGCTTAATTTTTTTCTCAGGAAGAGTTATAACTAAGCAGGTTTTGGTATGTTATGACTGCAATTAGTTTTAATAGGAGAGAGGAATGACTACAGCTGTGTGTGTGTGTGTGTGTGTGTGTTTGTGTGTACCCTCACAAGACCTGCAGGTTTTTACCAGCTCCACATAATAACTTTTCCTCTCACAGGCAGTGAATCAGTCAACTTTTACTGACACATGACAGTCCCTTCCTAACAAATTAGCCTATAATTGACCTTAATGAAGACGTTTTGAAGACTAACATACTGTACAGAAACATTTATTTTTAATTGTTTGACCTTAATAAAACAATTTGTATGACCCTTTGCTGATCAGCCACTGCTGTGGTTAAAGTTTGACTAGGTTTAGGCACAAAAATTACACCTTTAAGGTTAGGAAAACATCATAGGGTAAAAGAAAACAACGATGTGTCAGAAAAAATTTGAAACAATCCCCTCTGAGAAAGACACGCTTTGTTGGGCCACCTGATCATTTGCTTCTGACAGACAAGAATCATGATTCTTGTCTCCAGTAGAGGTCTTTGTCAGGTCAGGCCTAGGCTGCTTAAGGCAGATGCAACTGACAGATGCTGTTCATAAGGGACAGCCTTGATGAGCGTGACCTATAAGAAAACACAAATACATCCTATATCCGTATACTTTTCAGTACCGGTGTGCACTTTTACCTGAGATGGATTACATAACACCTCTCAGTCATTTTAAATGTATGTTGGCGCCTAAATGGCTGCTCATTGCATGCGTGCATGCATGTGTGCGTGCGTGCATCCATGCAGACTCACTCATCTCCATGTATTCAGGCGTAAGGCCATCAAAAGGAGTCAGGGCATAATCCAGTTTCCACTGCTGAGGCGGCCGCTCGTCCTCCCTCTCCTTCTCTGCTGATCCTTTATTCTTCATTGCACGCACCAATTTCTTCAACTTCCTGTTTGGATGACGGAAAGGTGGAGGAGAAGGTGGGGAGAGGAACGGAGGAAAAAAGATCACATTGTACCGTGTGTGTCCATATGCTTAGTGTTCAATACAAAGTGTAAATCTAATTTAAACAGAAGAAATGTACATAATTATAAACCATGAATAATAAAAGTCGCTGTGACTAAAAAGGAATCCTACTGACTGAATGTTGTAAGATAGCAATCTAATCCCAGAAAACAGCCACATCTTCATATTATAAAATATTATGTGTGAAGCAGTGTGGTGCTTGTGTATGGAATGTGTAAACTTTCCTTGGAACAATGTATTGACACTTGTCTCTGCTTGTGAAACATAATAACAAGTATTTACACAGGTAAAGTAAGGCTAAACAAACACTCAGAAGCTGACTGTTTTCAAATAAACGTGAATGAAGAAAGCAACCAGCAGATTGGCATTCAACTGAAAACTGAAGCTATGTGATGCTAACAAGCTGCTGCTGGGAAGCACGGTGGGAGAGCAGAGAGAGCCAGGTACACAGAGAGCAAAAGAGTTTTGTGTTTCAGTAAGCACATGCCTTGGTAAATAATTCCCACTCACAGTATGTGTGTGCCTGCATATTATATGTGTACATGAAATGATGCATGTATGACTGTGTAAATGGACAAAACATACCGTGTGACAGTGTGTGCAGTGTGTATACTGTAAGTGTGTACTGCTTGTAAAAAAAAAAAACTCTAATAAAAGCAGCTAAATGCTTGACTGCATTATTTATGTGATTCAAACACACACACACACACACACACACACAGGGGAGTTACAGATGGTACTGCACATCCAAGGAGGCAGTGAATATATAAATGTTTACTGTCCTTTAAACACACACCATCACATACAGTAGATTTAGATAAACATGTCCACACTAATACAAACATGCTTTACAATCTAGTGGAGTACATACACACAATCTCCAAGCACACTGTCATGATACTGGGGTAGGTTTGAGAGAGGAGAGAGATTCCTTTGCCCCTTGTTCCTTTCCTGTCCCTTTTTTTTAGCTATTACATTGCTCTACAGCCAGGTGATGCCATCACTAGTCATATATCTTGTGAAAATTGCAATACATCACTCAAAAACGTAAATGTTCATTTGGAAAATGTGCCAGTTAATATTTGAAAAAAACCCTACCAGATCATCTAATTCAACCTGAATTTAGCAACAGTTTCTGATATTTAGTATTAAATTGAGCATCTCACAAGAAGAGTTGTTGTTTTAAAGCACAATCAAAATTGGACTTCCAGTCATCAGGTGGCCAGAAACGTGACTCCAAATGGGATGATAATGTTGCAGCAGGTGTCTGCTTGATGTGTAAGACAGAGTGTTTACCAGTTAAAAACTACTATAATTAGGTCAACCTGTCAGGGCTGTGTTTTTGTGAATCTGTTTTAGTTTTTTGGTTATAATCACTGAAGACAGCTTTAAATAACTTCAAATTCAAAACAGACACAGAGAAAGAGAACAAGAGATACCAGTGCCTCTCAAACCCCCACCCCTCATTCTGAGTTATGCTTTAGGCTACAACTTGGCATGTTGTTTAGCCAACATTTGTTTATCTTTTGTCAAATTAGAATCATTGGAAATATTCCAAATCAGCTACTGTTTGCAATGTACGCATGGATGTACAGACTATGACGGGATTACTTTGATACTGAAGCATATTTAAAGACGTGATGATTCTCAGACAAGGTCTGGAGGTATAAGGAATGTATTTTTCTATGATCTGAAAGTGAATTTAAATATGTTTATTTGCAGTAAACATCAGAGATAATGATATTTTAACAATAAAGACAACAACTCCCATGACCCCATGCTACTTCACAACATCATCAAACTTAGTCTTTTGTTATTGTTTTGATTCGAGAGACCCCTAGCTGCTGATATTATGTACTGTGCGTTTAACTGAATGATGACTCGGAGAAGAAGTATGATTTTTAACATAAACTGCAGCAATGGTGCACTATGGGTTTTAAAATACTTTCATTTCCTCCACGATCTGTGTGTCACAGCCACTGCTGCTGCTGTAACTGCTGACTGTGTTGATTAGTGGGCCAAATCAGCAGGCCAAACAGGTTCAGTCCAAACCTCTGTTCACGGGCCGCATACAAGTTCACATTTCAAACATCAACACATCACAATGAGTCAACAAGACTGTGTTGTCAGGAAGCCTCCTCCAAATGCAGAAAAAACAAACCCTATATATATATATATATATGTCATGCTGTCATGCCTTAGTCACACTTTTGGTCTCTATGGATGCGAGCTCATAATGACGCTGCTGTGAAGTCTCCATAGATCTGAATCCTGTTTGGGAGGATGTGCACAGTCAGCTAACCAGCCCTCACTCCTCTGAAAGATACACCTCCGTTGTTTGTGTTCTACCAAGGATACAGCCCCTGGGAACCTGTTAAGTTGTGTTTTTGGGAGTTAGCCAGCCCCGGTGATGTTAACAAGACATTAAAATGCAGGCTCTTTCTTATGTGCATCACTACCTAATTAAAATAATACTACTGTTCCAAAAGAAAAACATCTTTCAACCCATACAGAAATGAGCTGGTTAATTGAAGATATTGAATATTACTAATTCAATGTCATTAATAATTAGATATTCTATTGTCGCAACTTTGATACAGAAGCATACCTAAAAATGAATTAATTCTGAATCATGTCAGTTTCTCCTGTTTGGGTTTAACTTCTTTTAAATGTCTCCGTCTCCTACATCATTAGACAGGGGCTTTAAGGGTCAGTTACAATTTGGTAAACCTGTGAAAACTTCTGAAGTACTTCTTTCACTCAGTGGCTCCAGAGATTCCCTATAAAACTGCACACTGGCCCACAATATGAGACTTTACTGATTTGCTCCCAGGTTTGAAAGCTTTTAAGTGCATGAATGTGAAGCAAATGAGTGGATGGTATGTAGATGCTATGATGGTATGCGTTGTGGCTTGCTGATCCTTCAGGACGTCCTGGAGAAACCACGGTGTTTGATGAGACCAGCGGGTCAGCAGGTCAAGCTGTGCTTACAGCAACAGTAACAGTGCAGCCTGAAGTCAAAAGGCACCTCTGTTGTTAGACAGTTGTTAAAAACAAAGATGACCTCTGACCTTTGGGTTTTGAAGTACCACCATGCAGACATGAGAGGAATGTTGTTAAAACAAGAATGGTGAGACGGAATCTTGAAGTTTACTTACGGGATGCCAATCTCAAAGATGTTGTTCTGAATTAGCTGCTTTCCCAGCATGATGATGCTGAGCTGAATGCACAACTCAATGAGGCAGCCTCCTGGTGCACACTGAGGGGCGAGAACACACTTCATTTGTACACTTATTCATCACCACTTTATGTTTTACTTTGGAGGCTAAACAGATACAAAATAAGGTAACAAACCTCTTCCATTCGATGATCATTGAAGACATACATGTAATTTCCAGGTCGACCAGCAAACCTGCGAAAAAGCACAAACACACAATAAGGACAGAGAGGTTGCACCTGGCTTCATCCTGATCCTTTTCTGAAATGGATGTAAACAGTTGTGTTATGCGTAGTGTAATCCAGGTAAAATGCACGGCGTGTTAATGCAAGGTGCCAGTGCATATTGTAGCTGTCTGAAGAAAACCATCTATCTCCAAATTTGGAGATTTTGACAAATAAACTGAAGGATAAAACATTCCTTTATGGTTTGAGAAAATTCTCCTTATTATCTCAACCAGGTTTAAGCCTGGAGGGGATCAAGCGTTTGTTTTTGTATCTGTCCACAGCTAATCTTGCATACTGATACTAATGACTGTAGGCTTAAGGACCTGTCGTGGTTACAGTGACAGACAATTTTTTTTAAAAACCTATTTTTTTGACTGCTCTGTTTGATACTGCTATTGACTACTGACTGCTCGCTCCTCTTAATGGGCTGCTTATGTTACGTAAGTTAAAATAATCCAACTCTGGTTTTTGGTTTCACACAGGACACGAACAGCGGCCTCCTGGGTGAAAGTCCTGTTTGTTTCACCAAGAGTGTATCTACTGTATGTTCCCAGCGTTCAATTCACCCAGGGCGCAATGTTCCCCAGCTCAATATCCTCTTGATATGACTCAAAGAGGAGACCTTTCAAAGGGTTTTATGTCCTCAGCAATCTTTTTTCCCTAGAACAACTCCTCAGTGTGTTTCCCACCCACCTACAGCTTATACAGCTTACTTATGTTATACTACTTGAAACCTCGATGTCCTCCTATTTGCAGGCAAGGTAGTTTTTTTGACTTGACATTGATATCTCCAAAAGAGGTTGAACTGATTTTTACTATTCAAGCTGCATTTGAAATGTCCATGTCCATTTGTTTTTTTGTAATTTACCAATCTATTACAATGTTAATTTATATCAGGAGACATATATGGGCATAGGAAACTGGAAACATAGGATCCTGGGAACATAGGGATGATCCCATTTCACCCATCCAACCACCCTGACCTCGTCCTTACGTTGACTTTGTTGCTCTTTATACTATGTCACCTAACATTTTCTTTCCTTTATGACATTTGTGTAAAATGAAACTTGTAAAATGACACGCCGTCTCTGGACAATATAAGTCAGTACAAACCAAATGACCTAAACAAAAAGGTGTTGTAACATGAAAAATGACTTTGCTGTGTTATTCATACACTATTCAGTGATACCAGACCTGGTGGAGATCTGCACTCTGTTGATTGTATTCTTCTAGTTAAGTTAAATATCGCCATTGGATTAGTTGAAAATGCATTGTCGCAAAGCTTAAAACAAGGCTGGCATTTTAGGGATACATGGTTTTCACAGGACAGCGGTGTACACGCAAAAAGCAGGACTTACCGGCCCTTGAAGAAAGCCACGTAAAAGATGGGTGCGTATGCGTTCATAAACTTGAGCAAGAAGGCTTTCAGGATGAGACGCTCCTCATAGTCGGTTTCTGTTTTAGGAATCTCTGAAAAACAGGTAAAGTGAAACTGTAAGATTTGGCTTGGTGTTGTTTTGTGAGGTCAGAGGACAGCAAGGAAGCTAGAGAGCATGTTAAATGACAACAGAAATGGAATTTACTGTATGTACATTATCTATATTACCTTTGGCTAACATTGTATTTTATAAATGGGTGTTACACTGATTTTCTACAGAATGTCTCTTTAGTCCTGGACCTGACTGAGTCTGTTCTTAGAAAAGTGGTGATTCTGTCAGTCTGAATCTTGAAATTTGAGTTATAACATAATCACTGTGCTGGAAGTAGGTTAAAATGATGGCACTTTTCACATGTCCTGTCTCTGTCTCTCTCTCTCTCACACACATACACACACACACACACTTTCCCTCTCTCGCACACTTCTGCTTTCCATTCTTTTCCTCTATTTCAGAGGTTTTGAATATGAATGTAAATGTGGTAGAAACCTCCTGGGATGAGTGATGGGATGACTGGAGCATGAAAACATCAAAGTTTCATCAAATCATCCACCAAGAGGCAGAAAGACTCTTCCTGTCTCTCAAACTCACGGATGCAGAATTATTTCATGTAGAAATGTAATTGTTCATTGAGTTGGTGAGGCAGAATATTTCTACTGACATTTCTGAAATATGCCATCATGGATATTGACTACACTCCGCTACATATTGAAACTGTAAGACACAGAAGGTGAAGATGAAAGGATCTGTTAATATTGTGAACTGAATGAGGTGGATATTCATTTTATTCTCTACTGTTAGAAAGCCAGGTTGGGAATTTTGCCAGGACACCAGGGAACCTAGTCTTTGTGATAAGTCCCATGGGATCTGTCAGGACCTCAGTTTAACGTCTCATCCAGAGTATGGCATCTTCTACAGCACAGTATTCCCATCACCGCACTAAGGCATTTCGATTTTATTAGGACCAGAGGGAAGACTGCCCCCTATTGGCCAACAACAACTCTTCCAGCAGCAACTTAATTTTCACAGGTCATCTCCGATCCAGGTAATAGCCAAGCCCAAAACTGCTTGCCTTGAGTCATACATCAGAAACAGGGTACATGCTATAAGGGCTGCTATATACAAGTTACATACAGTAGGTGAAAGATTTTATGTTGTTTTTACCTTTGGACAGAGGGTGGCTAACTATACTCTTCTGCTTCCAGTCTTGTGCTAAGCTAAGCTAACGATTTCCTGAAACAATATCCTGGCTTCATATTTAAAATACAAATATGAGAGTGGTGTCAATCTTCTCATCTAATTCTTGACAAGTAAGCAATTAAGTGTTTTTCAAAAAAATGTCAAATTCCTTTAATAATTCACCTAGTATGGCTCTAAAATTGTTGAGGCTAGCTAGTAAGGCTTATTTAGACAATGTTGCCCATTTTTAGATAGATAGATAGATAGATAGATAGATAGATAAATTATTCATCCCTGAAATTGCATTGTGTCTGTTTTCAAAAGTTGCACAGTAGGCTATTATAGTACATACTATAATAGTAAATGACTGTAGTATTTCTTTACCTAATTCAGTCAGCCACATTGCCACAGAGCCGTATATTTCATCAAGGATCAGAATAACCACTAATTGATGATGACTGCAGTGGCCGTCACAGTCACCCGAACATTGGACTTGGTCTCCGGGTCAGTGCTCATCGCCATCAGAGCCGACACTGTGATGCGGTAGACTATGACACCAAACACTGCTGAAAACGTCAAGCCAAACTGGTAGCAGAAAGGAAAAAAGAAAGAAAAAGAAGAAAATAAATTAGCCATTACTTAACCATATTTGTCTAATACTCCCAGTGCGGCAAGAACTCACCGATGTAGGTCACTCATATACTCATTTACGTACATTAGCTGTGCCGTGTAGGCCTACATGTTTATTTTTCTATTTAAAGTACTTTCATTCATAGACAGTGAGAAAATGTATCATTCTTAGTAGAGCATTAATCCTTTTTTTATGTACTAACCATAAAGAGGATGAGGAAACGTTGATGAAGTACCCAGGAAGACGGTCTTTCCAGGTCAACTTCTCTATGGTAGCCTGACAGGAAGGATGGTGGGAAAAGGGGAGGAAAGGAAGAGAGAGGGAACGTTAGCAGTCACTCATACAATTGCCAGTGCTTCAAGTAGCCAGACTTGAGACATCACAAAAGAGAAGAAGGAAGAACAAACCTGTTTCATATTGTTGCATCAATTAACAACAAATCTGTCTCTAATGGCATGATGTGAAAAGCACTGTCACAGTTCCCTTTCTTCTTTTCATATGGTTTGCAAAAAGCTGAATATAGAGTTGAAGCAGCAGCAGCATCTGTAACTTACCGCCCCCACAGGAAGTGTTACCACATCTCAACAGAGACATAAAGGAGCACAATAGCCCATTTTACAATCTGCTTCCTACATTTAGAGACCAGCTTGGAATAAATGTTTTCATTCCATGGACCCCACCATACCCAGACAACCCCCATTTAATATGATTTATCTATTGTCCAGCCAGGACACATTTAGCTTTGCCAGGCATAAAGACTAAAGCAGGGGAAAACAGCTAGCTTGGCAATTTTAAAAAGTTGTGGTTTAGTCCAGCTCCCTGTAACTCTACAACTTATCATTTTTATTTTTCAGTTTAACGTAAAACGTAAACCAGATATACTGGTAAACAAGTAAGCTCTAGAGGCTAGCTGTTCCCTTGCTTCCACTCTTAATGCTAACATTACTGTAGGCTAAGCTAACTATCTCCTGGTTGTAGCTTCATTACTTAGCAGAGACTGGTTTTGATCTTCTCACCTTACTCTCAGCAAGAAAGCAAGTAAGAGTTTTTCCCAAAATGTCAAACCACTTAAAAGGAAAATATTGTATTAAATCAATGTTTGAATACGGATTGCTCCAAAACATAATCAGAGACCATGTGTAAAGCCTGTTGACAGAAGACTGTGGCAGATGTATCCATGATCAGTGGAAGTACCTATCTCCACCATGTTGGTGGAGTAGCAATGAAAGGGAAGTTATTTTATTTTCTCTGCAATAACTAGACCAGAAAGAGGGAAAAGGTGTGCCAAACACCCAATAAAACCCAAGAGACAGTTTTAAGTAAAAGTCCACACAGGACAAAGTCAACAAAAACTTTGAAACTGGACTCAATTATGAATGTGGATGATCTGGTTGTAAAAATCAGTAGGATGAAAAAATAAAATATCAGACTTTCCTATGCCCTCTAACCTGCTGACTCCAACTTCTTAACCACTCAAATGTGTGTGTATGGCATGGTTCCCTGAACTTAAAACCAGTGGGAGAAGCTGACCTACTTGTGCCAACAAGAAAAGCTACTTCACCGGCCTGTCTGCGGTTAAGGTTTGATCTCTGCAGAGACAAATGCTGCATCTCCATCCAATATGTGACCCCCTTCACCCAAATACACACACATCTTCTTACATGGGCAGGCAAAGGCAGGCAGGATTTTCACACACATACACTAACACATGATGGACAGAGAGTCTGTACATCGGATGACCTTCAATAATAGCAAGACATCGGCACCACCTAGTGAATACACTGACACAGTGCAACGTGTGGGTCACACTTGCTCTATTCACACGAACATAAATATTACTTTCCTTTGTTTTGTTTAACCTGTAAAGTGTTAAATAATAGTAAATCAAACATATAGTACCCCATAAAATATGTGAGAGCATGTGTTTGGGGAAGACACAGTGATTTATTGGTAAGAACATAGGAAATATTGTTATTATCACTTATCTGTTTATATTTTTCTTGTTATCATATTCCTCTTGTTTTATCAATCTTACATCATCTTTTTGATCGGATGTGTTCTGTGAATCTTGATTATTATTATGTTCTGTGGTCAATGTGGTACTGCTATCTTGGCCATGACTCGCCCTGCTTTAAAGCGGATGTTTATACTTAGTGAGGCTCTTAACTGGTTAAGTAAAGTTATATATAAAGTAGGGCTGAACCCCAATAGTCGAAGATTCAATGCTTCGATGGGCGGAGCCTGATTCGCAGCGAAATAAGGATCATGCCATTTTGGCGATATGGGGGTGCTCAACCTATTACAATATACAATTCAACATTTAATGCTGTAAATACGTAAAAAGAATAAAACTTTCAGTAAATGTTTTTAAAAGTGCATAAATAAATCGGGGACAGCCCTAATATAAAGTTTGGATGAATGGATGGATGGATGGATAGATGGACAGATTGTTTCCATATCCTGGTGCAGTGATTCTCTTGCATCAATCATTGAAACTAGCTCGTCCACCTCGCCTGTCTGCTTTGGGTCATATTCCTTGTCTGAAACTTCAGATTGTTTGTGAAAATAATGCCATTTGCAAAAAAGACCAATTTAACTTTAACCTGTCACCAGCAGTATGAAAAGACACCAACATTGTCTTTTAAACCAGCTGTTTGTGAGTCCCTTTGACTTTGTGTCCATGCAACTTAGTGTCCAAGGACCAAAGAGAACAAACTATACATCTCACATCTTCCCACTTTTATATTGTGGCCATATTATCCCTCACACCTGGTACACATGTACACCACCTTTATTTAACAGGTGACCTCTGACCATACTACTAAAATCTGTAGGGTTCACACTACAAAAGGAATGGAATCTCTGTGTATATATATTTAACTGATGAACATAAAAGAGAGTTAACATTTGAAGTTAACATTTTATATAAGACCATGGTGAATTTCTATTATTACAGTAATTGAACCTGTCTGGATCGCGCTAAGATCATTTGTGATGCCTGAGGAAATTACATTCTCAGGTTGAAAGCGTGTTAATCAGTGACAAAAGCTAATGAGGTTTCTGATTGGAATGCAAATCTGCACACGCGTGACCACACAAATCTTCCTCCATCCAAAAAGTATAGGCTCTTTTGTCTTTTTATATTTGGCTTGGCAAGGAAGGTACTGTATGTTTATACAGTACCTTCCTTTAAGATTAAATAAAAATGTTTCCACACGTGACACATTTGAAACAAGAACTGTGTCAGATAAATATCATCTGAGCATTAATGTTCATTCTTGAACTATATGGTATAAGCTCAAAGGTTCGATTCAGGGCATTCAACATGTCCACAGATTCATATTTAGATCATGTGAGCCTGAGCAAGCTCTGTTCACTGAAGAAGACCTTGAGCTCTGGTTGAAACCTATGACAACTAGTAAGTAGGCCTTTGCAATTACAGTATTCTTACTGTATTTATGATATAATCTAAATAACTAAATCAATCTCAGCCACTATAATCATTAAGTTTCAGCACAATATGCAGTTTTATTGAAAATCAGTGATATATGTGAATGCGGCCTATATGGAGGACCCATATCTACAATAACACAAGCCCATTTATGCTGACTACTGCATCTTTCACTTTGATATATTTTTATAAATCAATTTTTATATTGTCATATATCAAAGATGGTTTATTTTCCGCATATGAACAGTCTTTAAAAGGTAGACAAATTATAAACAGACACATTTGTAGATGAAATATCAATACATTTATTTCACTCATTTAATTAATCACGTGAAGACCAAACAGTGATATGCATGTTCTGTGGGTTTATCCATCTTCTGAAATGCAATCCATTTCGCTCCCTTTGGCAAGAAGGCTTGGAGTGACGACGAGCTGGGGAGCAGTTCATTTTCCGTCCAGTTTTTCGCATTAAGTATGACCTGTATAAAGAATTTCTATAACAAATTTTTAAAATAAAACGATAAAGCAACAGCACTCAAAGGACAAGTTGCTTAGTCACACACAGCTTGAAAATCAAAACCAGGTATGAAAACTTCAGATTCCTTTTCATGTCACAAACATCAAAGTGTTAAATTGAACAAGTGTTTGTGTGCTGCTATAAAATAACGACCTGCGTCTGTCAGTGCCTTGTCCACACTTTGCCTTTGTTCACCTTTCTCTCCAGATTTTTTCACATCATGAACAGGGTGTCTGTACAGATCACAAGTATTTCAGTATTTCAGTCTCTTTAATCTTGATAGTAAAATCTAAATATTAAATCTAATCCCAGACTGGGATAAAGACAAATTATTTTTTTTAAATTGAACCCATTAGGAGAGCTTCTCTGCACCCTGGCTTTCCTTTCCTTTGCCTCTCATGTTTCTTCTTCCTGCTCTTATCTTTCTTTGTGGGATGACAACCAAAGGTATGTCGTATCTGTTTGTCTGCTCTCCATTTACATCCACTCTTTTCTTTCTGTTTGGTTCTGCTCTCCATTTACATCCACTCTTTTCTTTCTGTTTTGCATAAAGATAAAACGTTGTTTGAATCTCCAGAGTTTGAATCCCAGTAGTAAATCAACAGTACAGGGAAGTGATATAACACTTACCTTCTGATACTGGCTGGAAAACAGCCTCCCATTTCCTTTCACAGACAGGTCTTTTTTGGGCCAGTCAAGTGGTCGTGTTTTCTCCCCAACTGTGAGTCTGGCCCTGGCCCCCTCATCACCCATGTAATACTAAATGAGAGAATATTTGGATTCATGTTTAGATCTGTTGTTTTCACCTTACCTTAAATTTTTACCTTGCAAAAACTAAAAAAGTAAAAATAAATAACACATATTTATATAACTTTTATGTAGTTTAATTAAAGAATAATCGACACAATTTTTTTGTATAATTCATAAACATTTTGTACTTTGTAAACATGTTACTCCCATTGATTTGTGATGTAATGGCATCTTCCTTAATTTAGTTAGTCCTAATCACATTCCTGTCTGAGCAACAAAATTTATTTTTCAGCAGACTGTGAAAAAACTAGATTGGTATCTTTAATAGCCATATAGAAATGGCTGAAAGGGGCGACTATCTATCAACTATCTAATTACTTGTGTTTATCGATTTTCCTTTTTAGATTAACAGGTCAGTGAACCTTAAATTAGATGTCAGTACCTAAAGAAGGCAAATAAGCCTTAAACTAGTTTTACATATACACTGTATGCAGCAGTTTCTAATTAGTTACACCTTTTGAGAAAAACAGTTTGTGCTAAAACACAAATAAATTAACA